ATAGATAGATGGATGGATAGGTAGATAGATAGATAGATAGATAGATAGATCGATAGGTAGGTAGGTAGATAGATAGACAGATAGATAGATGGATCGATAGATCGATCGACAGATAGATCCACATGCGGTGGGCTTTTTAAGTCCCCCCCCCCACATAGTACAGCACCCTTATGCAAAGGATCCACAAAAGGGGCCCTAGTTTAGAGAACTGCACACATACCATTCAGCAACTAGGCCTTGTGTCAAACCCCAGTATAGACACCAACCTCTACGCCTAAACCCTAAACCCTAAAGCCTTCTAAGCCCTGAAATTGCCGCTATATACACAACGCTTATGGAGCTTATGGAAGAGCCCAGCAGTGGCGAACCTTAGATCCTTCGATGTGGTCGGGTCCCTTCTCCTCGTCTTTAGGGTCCCCTAAACCCTAAACCCTAAACCCTAAACCTTAAACCTTAAGCCCTAAACCCTAAACCCTAAACCCTAAACCTTAAACCCTAAACCCTAAACCCTAAACCCTAAACTATGAGGGTGTGCTGGGTTGAGGGTGGAATGAGCCCGAGCTGAAGGCGAGGGATTGGGAGTCCAAGGCCTTTTGGGGGGGTGTCCACGATTTAGGTTTTAGGTTTTAGGTTTTAGGGGTTTAGGGTTTAGGGTTTAGGGTTTAGGTTTTAGGTTTTAGGGCTCAAGGTTTAGAGGATTCAGGGTTTAGGTTTTAGGGTTCAGGGGTTAGAGGATTCAGGGTTCAGGATTCAGGGCTCAGGTTTCAGAGGATTCAGGTTTTAGGTCTCAGGACTCAGGGTTTAGAGGATTCAGGATTCAGGTTTTGGGGCTCAGGGTTTAGGCATGGCGTCTCTCGGATTTTTCGGGGTCTGAGATCGGAGCCGGGAGTCTCGGGAGCAGGCTTTGGAGCTTTCACGGTCTAAGGTTTAGGGTTTAGGATTTAGGGTTTAGGGTTTAGGGTAGCAGGGATCCGGCTGACAGGGCTCAGGGTCCAGAATTTCTGGACATGAGGGGGTGGGTCTTCGGAGGTATAGAGCTGAGGGGGCCGCGGGCTTGGAGCTGTGAAGGGTTTAGGGTTCCGGATTTGGATACAGGGTTTAGGGTTTCGGACTTGGGTGGGGGTTTAAGGCTTCGGATTTGTGTACAGGGGGTTTAGGGTTAAAGATCTGGCAATCGACTTTGGGGTGACGGGTGCAAGGTTGGTTGAGTGCTTTGCTTCTCAAAAAGCACCTCTGCTTCGCTACCTGAAGCTTATGGCTTTCTTGTCTATAGGGTGCATCATAGGGCTTGAGGCTCCGAGATGGGAAGTGGTGGCGAGACTTTTCAAAACTTACGACTCAGTGAAGGAATTTCATGCTGATGATTCTGATGTAGTTTCTTGGCTTAATTATAGTTCATATAGAAACCCCAAAAGTTAAAGTCTAAAGAGCCAACCAGAAGAACGCCAATGTTTATGAGGTGATGACGACCTTAGTTCTTGGGTTTGGGGGCGTATAGGGTGTACGAAATTGAGTTCCATGAAGGTGCAGGGCCCCAAGACTTCAACCTTGACCGATATGGCTGGGTTTAAGGTTTAGGGTTTAGGGTTTAGGGTTTAGGGTTTGTGCTGCCTTCATCGGCAATGCAAGGCAGAGGCACACACTTGGGCTTGCGGTTTAAAGGTTTTGGTTTGTTTGATAGAGGGTAAAGCTACCCCCTGTAACGTGCGGCAAGCAATTCTCAATTGCTAATTAAGTCTTGAGCCACTAAAAACCCTGAGCACTCCACCTGAACCACACCAACAAAGAAAATCCCCTAAACCCTAAACCCTAAACATGCTTAATGGCCGCAAGACACGAGCTCCGCACTAAACCCTCAGCGCCCAAACCCCAAAGTGTAAAAGCATCTTTAAACCTGACAGGTCCCTGACACCCAAACGCTGAACCCCAATCACTTGAAGCCCCAAACCTTAAGTCCTTGTTTTGGGTTTAGGGTTTAGGGCTAAGGGGGTTTAGGGTTTAGGGCTTGACCCCCAAGCCCTAATCTCCTGAACCCGCCCCCTCCCCCACCTCCTAATTAGGCCTCAGCCCTAACCCTAAACACCGTTAACTTCCTAAGCGGTAAGAATCTCCGACCTCCGAAACCCTAAACCCAAACTGCTAAACCCTGAACCCTAAACTTCCTACGCCCGAAACCCAGAAACATCTCCTCCGCAGCTTCCAGGGCTTCTGAGATCGGACTCAAGGTAGCTGCCCAAACCTCTGCTCCAACTATTTAGGGCTTAGGGTTTAGGGCTTGGGTTTAGGGTTTACGTTTAGGGTTGAGGGATCTCAAACCTCTACTCAGCGTTGGTTTGTTTATAAGGCTTCATGGTGTCAAAGTTGCGATTAAGTCTTTAAAGAATTTTGAGCTCTTCTGAGCAATGGCTGCGTTTCGCATCGAGCCCCCGTCCTTGACATCAGCGCTAATCCCCGAAACTCGACACGCAAAACCCCTAAACCTTAAACCCCTAAGCCCAAAGCCCTAACCCCTTAAGCCCTAAATCCCCAAACCCTAGCCCGTAAACGGCATCGGACCGAGTCGCAGCGATACCGGCCATGCCGATGATGAGACCCGGTAGGGTCCAGTAAACTGCACGCTTCAGCTTCCTGACGAGGCTTTTCATAGGTTCATACTAATAGTATCAAAGTTTCATACGAATAACAACAATAGCAAAGAACGCAGTACAATGAACAATAACGGTGAAGATGTTTAGGGTTTAGGCGGTTCAGGCGGTTTAGGATCTTTTATAGTTTAGGGTTGAGGGCTTGGGGTTTACGGTTTAGGGGTGTAAAGCGGAGAATCTAAAGCCTCAATCTCTACACTCCGACGCCAAAACCTGCAACTTTCAGACTCTGAGACACAATACCTGACAATCCCACACCCGAAACCTGGATGAAGGATGGTTCTCGAAACCCTGCCTTTGAGTACTTGATACCCAGACCTGGTACAGTTGCCCGGCCCTGCACGCTTCTGAAAATGCCCAAAGTACTAAGGTGTGTACCTCTAAACCCTAAACCCCTAAACCCTAAACCCTCAACCCCCCTAAACCCTAAACCCTAAACCCTAAACCCTAAACCCTCAACCCTAAACCAGGGTTTGGGCTCTCGGGCCGGTGTTGCCATCCGGGGCTGCACCAGTAAGCCAGTTTGGGCTGCTCTCACAGCCTTGAGGTGTCCTAACTACGCATCCGTTGATGATGCGTTTTAAGAGGCTTGCGGTTTGCAAGGCGTAAAATGCTGTTACAATGGTATCATTAGGTCATAAGGCACTTGAGAGCACTTAGGGGAGAACTTGATTGCTAGATCCTTCTTGGCACTACAAGAAGGCCCTCCATTGCCGAGAGAGTTTCTGGAAACCCAGCTGGATGAGCGCTGCGTGCATCATCAGGTAAGCCTGCTGACAGAAACAAACTGTAGGATGTAGGACCCTACGTTTACCAGGGTTTAGGGTCTTAGGATGTAGGTTCTGCATGTAAGTCATTGAAGGATTCCGGCATCAACGAAAGAACTGACAAGCTCTCGTTGGGGGCTGCGGCTAGGATGCTGGGTTTAGGGAGCTGAGGGCCATTGACCAATTCGGAACCTTGACAAGGTTGGGGTCATGCGGTTGAGGGCTTAGGCCTTTAGATTTAGGGCTTACCCTAAACTCTGAGCTGAACCCTAATCGAAACGCTATGGGTGTAGTCTTTCGGGTTCAGGGTTTTGGGTTTAGGTGTGGAAGCATCCGGCCCGCAGGATACTAATCTCGTAGTGTTGTATTCCACCTTAAGGAAGGGGGGGAGGGGTCCGGGGTTGTGTGGTTTAGCGTTGAGTTCCGCCTTAGTCCTTTCTGGTTTCGGGGTTCTGCTCTGGCAGAGGCGCCTTGCTCACAAACCGTTGTTGATGTCGCAACGTTATAAATCATAGCTACGGCCTTTCTCACCACAGAGCTCACAAGCGATGCACAGCATCCCTGTGCCGGGTCCTTCCTGAGATCCCCTAAACCCTAAACCCCTAAACCCCTTCTTGAGATCCCCTAAACCCCTCCTTGAGATCCCCGAAACCCTATAAGCCGTGGTCGCCCCTTGAGAGCCAAGGCTTGACAACTGCTGAAGTCGAACGCACGTCCTAAGACAACCGAGACAGGCCAGCGCCTTCAGGAAAGACGCTAAAAAAACACAGCAACTGTCCTTTTAAGGGGTTTTGAAGGATTTAGTAGAGTTTACGGGTTCAGGGTTTAGTACAGTTTAAGAGTACAGTTTAAGAGTACAGTTTAAGGGTTTAGGAAAATAGACAAGGCCCTACACACCTATCCATAAACAGGAAACCCTGAAAGAAAGGTTCCTGAAGCGGTCTGTCAGTTCCTCAAGAACAACCCTAAACCCTAAACCCTAAACCCTAAAACCTTCATTTGGGGACAGCCCTTCTCCCGGCCAAAAAGATGGTCAGCTTCACGACATCGAGTTCTGCGCCCTCGGTGTCTTCTAAGGTAGCAAGGATGTTCAAGGCTTGGGGTTCATTAACTTATCAGAAAGGCGTCGCCCTCAGGGCCGGGTTTAGGGTTTAGGGTTAAGGGTTTAGGGGGGCCCATCTTGTCTAAATTATGGGTTTCGAGGCTCAGTTTGGCTTCGGGCCGGACGTTCGCTTTCAGGTCGGGGAATACATGTGTAGGCTACTAACAGGCTGTCACTGACATGCACACACCATGATTTCCATAGCCTAGGTTCCAAAACCCTAATTCAAAAAACCAAGGTGCATAGCCTAGGTTTCGAAAACCTAATTCCAAAAACAATTCCGAAACCCTATAATTCCAAAAACCAAGGTGCAAGCTTTCCCCAGTACTGCACGGACTCCTTCCCCACGCAGCGCACGAGGGCTGCATAGAGTCCCAAGGCACCCTGCCATGACCTGGGCTTAGGGTTCACCGTGGGTCCTATAAAAGTCTAACATGAGACCTCCTGAGGGTTTGGCAAAATGGTTTCATGATTTAGGGTTTAGGGTTTATGTCATGAGGGTTCAGTCGGCTAAACCCTAAACCCTAAACCCTAAAGGCTTTGGGAGGTTCTAGTACGATTTTCGAGTTATAGCTTTCTGAGCTCAAAAACAGGGCTGGAGATGCGGCTCAAGGTCAAAACAAACCCTAAACCCCAAAAGGGATGAAGGTTGTAGTTTTAGGTTCCAGCTACCAGGGTTGAGGGTCCTGGGTGTGAGGTCCCTTAGTCTCGAAGTTTCAGGGTTTATAGTTTTTTGTGTTAAGCTCTTTTTTTGCTTTTTTACTACCGCCGCTTCAGTCTGGGTTTAGGGTTTAGGTCTCTGTGTTTGTTACTGGCCCTACCCTAAACCCTAAACCCTAAACCCTAAGCCCTAAACCCTAAACCCTAACTTTTCCGTAAGTTGTTGTTTGTTCATGGCCTTTTTTCGTCTTGCAGACTTGCAGACTTGCAGCAAGTCGGAGAGCCTCGATGAGGCAGGCTTAGGGTTTAGGGTTTAGGGTTTAGGGTTTAGGGTTTAGGGTTTAGGGTTTAGGGTTTAGGGTTAAGGTTACGGCTGATGCTAAGGACTTAGACGGCCTAGGCTTCATGCAGGGTTTAGTTGCCTCGCCTGCAAGATCTTGTTGTTTCACATCATGGTGTCTTTCCAGTGCTTGCAGCAGCTTATCCCTGCAATCAGCATTGTTGCTCCACGCTTCTGTGGTTGTTACCGAAACTCTTTTCAAAGCAATACGACGACGAAAACTCAATGCTAGCAAGATGAGCTTGCTCCCACACCTTTAACTTTAAACCTGCTCTAGTCTCTACACGCTTCAACTCTACTGAGCATCCTCACCCCAAAAACACACCCACAACAAGCTGCAATCTTTTAAGTGCCGAGCAGCTGGAACGAGAGCCACATTATGGCCACGGCCCCGCGTGTGAGGGTGCAGAAATGCGCGCCTATCAGAATGTCAGTCTCTGGCCGTTTAAAGCAAATACGTTGCAGGGAATAAGCGAACCATAAAGGGTTGATCACACATACCCCTGAATCGGAAAAATATGCGTGTATGCGTGTGTGTGTGTGTGTATGTCTATATATATATATATACATATGTATATATGTGTATATATATATATATATGTACATGCATACAAATACTCATATATATATATATATATATGTATGTTTTAATACTATTGGAGATCTAAAATCTAAATACTTCCTTCGGGCTCAACCGAGCTCCCGCATAGCGTCTTTCCTGTCAGAACTTACCCACGATGAGGACTACTGTTTCCATGTGGCCTTACAGTGCCATACAGCCACAGTCGGACTACTGTAGATGTTGAGTTTTGCAGACAGTACAACAATGTTGCCGTCATCAACTTCACCTTGGCCCTCACAACAACCAGCATCAGCAAGATCAACAATTATCTTCTTCGTCTCAGTGAGAATCATCACCACAACATAAACATGCTGCCAGTACTCAGCAGTATCTTCAGATCGCTTGTAGGTTTGTAGTTGCCTAAAGCTCGGATAACCTTCCTTATTATCACCAGTCTCACTTTCATCAACACCTTGACCCTCAAAACAATGGCTTCATCTTCGACACCGGCAACATTACCACTGTCATCACCAGCAACGACAGCACCACGATCATGACCAGGATCATTGGCGCCACTAGCACCAGCCAGTACCATCACGGTTTTCAACATCATCATCTTCTTCTTCATTCATCATATTCATCGACACTCTCACTTTCATCGTCGCCATGATCGTGATCACCTTCGCCAAGTCTTCCATTGATCTTGGCCTCCTTGCCTACATCTGCACTAACATCTGGCGACCAACACCAACACCACAACCATCATCGAAACGCGCCATCACCGCCATCATCGCAAGCTCCGTCGTCATTATTGTTATCATCTTCCGCCTCAGCCTCAAACCCGAAACCCTAAACACTACACCGTGCTCCATAATCAACATGAAGGTGGTAAACATGGGAACCTCGTATCGGTGCTGGTAACAGCACCGTTACTTACTTTCTTTCATCCACCTCCGCTTCCGAAGGAGCTGCGTGCCAGGACGGGAAAAGGAATTCCGTACCTAGCAGCTTCCATTCTCACAGGGTTTAAGGATTTAGGGGTGTGGATGGATTTAAGGCTATAAGGTTTAGAGGTCTGACAGTCTAGGCATTTAGGGCTTCTAGGGCCTATATTATAGGGTTTATGATAGAAACCGTACCAGCAAGTGTCAGATTATGCTTCGGACGATGGTGCATGCAGGCATAAGACGCCATCCCAGTCTCGTAGTAAAGTTCAGGGTTTATTCTGACGACTCTCAGAAGGCATGTTGTTCAGACCCCAGGCACCAGAGAACGAGTCTGTGGTCTGGTAGTCACTAGCCTGCCCTACGACACAAATCGTGTAGTGGCTAGCTTGTAGGTTTTGAGGTTTGCGCTTTTGTTTAGATTTCTAATGCTCTGGCCTCATGCATGTCTCACTCAATGCGCACAGAACCCAGCAAACCGGACAGAAGACGTCGGAAGACGGACCCATGCATCCCCCTGCAGCCCAAAGGGTCCGAGGTACTGGCGCGGGGGGAAACTTCCCAAATCATAAATAGTGGTTCCTAATATATGGAAGCCTTACTACTGCATTCTACCAAATAGTATATAGGTAACTACCTATAGACTTAGGGTGCTCAACGGTTTAGGGTTTAGGGCTTAGGGTTTTTTTGACCACCAACTGGCCATGTGGCTTGACGCCCGGTGCAGCGTTCAGGGACAAGCCAACAGCAAGCAGAAAGGCACCCACCGCCTCTCACGGAGAAGCATCAGAGTATCCCTCATACCGGGACCCCTAATAACTTGGCTTTTTCTGGGTTCCTTCTTATCATGGTTTTTAAGTATAAGTCCTCAAAAAGTGATCTACCTTTTTTCGGTTCCTTCTTATGATGTTTTTAAATATACGTCCTTACAAAAAGTAGGGTCTTTGGGGCTACGGTAGCGCTTAGGCTGGGGGCCTCTGAGATTGGGCTCCGGGGTTTGCCTTTTGGGAGCCTCTCAAGCTTTACATCCTCCAAACCATACCTGAACCTACCAATACCCAACTTGTGTTGTAGGCCCTTATTGTAAGCCCTCATATTAGATTCCGAGGGACCCTGCAAAAAAGGTGGTTCTGGTGGGTTAAGGTATACCTCAAATCTCGAACTGCTTGCGGTGGAGAATTTTGGGCCAAACCTGCACCTCAGCTCACGCTCATTGCATCTACATCACTTCAAACGGCTTTCATAGACTACAGCGACGCCTCCAGGGAACCTTGGGGATAAACCGCGCTTGAGCTCGTCTGCCAACATGCTCTGAATAATCAATACGGTTGGTGATGTAAATCCTGCATTACCCATAATACGGAATATACCATAAGTCCCTATAGTTTAGGGTCCTCAAGGCAATGCAGGATCTATATCATCAACAGTAGTATTATCCCAGTTTCTCCCTACTTGATTACAGTCAAACTGCCGTCATTTGTAACAATATACTGTCACTGCCAAAGTCTTATTCAACCTCATAATGAACCCCCCCCCCCCAATAGAAAGCCAAATAAAGCCCGTATTGGAACGCTTCTCGCTGGCCTGGCCCGCCAGTGTTTCGTGCACGGAGAGACCGAGACTCAGCGTCGCAGCGCCGGCGGAGAAGGTGCCGGTATTTACCATCCTAAGGGTGTCTTGGGATTTTAGAGTTTCGGGCTTAGGGGCTATACGGTTCAGGGCTGAGGGGTGCAGGGTACAGGGAGTTTAGAGTTTAGGGTTTTGGCGGTTGGGTATTATGGGCCGGCGGCGACTAGAAGTACAAACTTTGGCCTTCAATGGGTCCCTATATAGCAGCCTTCGGCCAAAGCCTACACTATACGTAAACGTACATGCGCCTTGCCTCAGGGCCAAAGCTTAGGGGGTTTAGGATTTAGTACCGGCTGGCAAATACGGAACGTTTGGGTGGACATGCTGTTCAGGGTCTACTTTAACCCCCAAAGAGCCTACCATTTTAAGGACTTCTAACCCTAAACCCTAAACCCTAAACCCTAAACCCTAAACCCTAAAAAGGTAGGTTCTTTCGGGCCCAGGTAGGGCTTCTAGCTTTGAGGTTATATAACATACGGACTACAGCACACCCAACAGGTGAGCTAAGGATATCTGCTCTACTACCAAGCGTGTGTTCAGACTTCGGGACGCGAGGGTTTTGGGGTTTGTTGTGTTCGAGTTTAAGTTCGCTGCAGCGGCACAGGAATCACGATTTGGGGATTAGTTTTGGCAGTCGCAGGGCTCAGGGTTTGGGGTTTCAGTTTCGCATTTAGGGTGGCTCAAATATTAGGGCAGTTCTCTACATTAAGGTCCCTTTTTTGATCCCCAAAATATTGCGGCACCCTTACAAAAAGGGACCCTAAACGGGACCCAAATTTCGATAACTACCCACTACGGGTTCGGGGTTTCGGGTGAAGATTGAAGCCTCAGGGCCTCAGGGATATTGGGCCTACACTGATTGGCTGGCTGAGGTCTACATAGTCTACACTGCGGCCGTACCTGGAGTCCGAATCATATGGCAGTATATATACATACACATACAGTCATATATACACATACATACATACATACATACATACATACATACATACATACAAACATACAAACATGCAAACATACAAACATACAAACATAC